CCCTTTTCCCACCTTTTTGTTTATTGTTCTAAGTATTGAACATCCCACTAGCTTTCCAATCCAGCAAGCCAGACTGTGCTAAACACAACCGGAAAGGGTCTACTTCCTGCAAAGAAACAGGGGCACCAATCCTCTCATTCACATTATGAACATTATTAAAGTCCCTACCTGCTATCCAAGGACCCTTAATACTCATACCTATACTTCTCAGCTGATCCCACATGGCACTTCTCAAAGCAGGATCATTCAAACCATAAATCCAAGTGCAATTAAACATATAACTAGAAGCCTTGTGTTTGACAACCATATGTATTAACTGCACTTCCACCCTAATCAGATCTACCTCAAAAATTTGGGGAAGCCAAATCACCCAAATTCTACCCCCTCTATGTTTTGAGTAGTTAGCAACAACTGACCAGTCACCCCCAAGTCTAGCAAAAACTTTCTCAAAATTTCCAGCCTTTACCTTAGTTTCAAGGAGGCCAAATAACCCTATATCATGATGTCTCATGAACCATAAAACAACACAAATTCTGCTAGGTTTATTCAACTCCCTAACATTCCAGAATCCCCAATTATCCATCAACATGGTGAGAGTACTCCCCCTCCTCCAAAATACTAAATCTATTATAAGATCTCACCACACCAACAACATCAATCACTAGATCATGGCTTTGCATTTCCCTACTTACATTAACCTCCACATTACCATTCCCTTTATCAACATCCTGGTCTGTACTCTTACTCATCTTGTCCTGCTCCTGATTATCAAGCCCTATCCGAGGCTTCTGAACTGGTCTCCATTCCTTCCTGACACCTTTTTTCTTCTAGTTTCTTGCCTTCACAGCATGATTAGGACAATCAGGCTCAGCATGCCCTATGCCTCTACATATCTTGCACACTATTGGCTTCCATTCATAAGTAACTTTCTACACCACATCCCTCCCAGATTCATCTAAAAACTCAATAGTATCTAGGAATTCACCATTGAATTGCACCTAAATCATCAGCCTAGCATAGTCAAGTCTCTCTGTAGGGGCAGTAGCCCTATCAGTTTTAATAGGTTTACCCACAAGAGATGCAATCTTCATCAAAGCAGATTGTCTCTAAAACTTCATATTTCAGATGAGGTAATCTGATCCAAATAGGAACTTTTGAGACTTCATCAACATCCAAATTCAATCCAGGAAACCATTGCTTAACAATTATTGGTTTCTTATCAAATAAAACAGGCCCAACACCTAATGCCTTGTCTTTTCCGTCCATAGGCTTAAATCGAACCAAAAACAATCCATTAGGTTTCATAGAAACCTTGTCCACCCCAAATTTGCCCCAAATCCTTCGAATAAATCCACGCACAACATTAAATGGAGGTTTCGAGCTCAAAACATAGAAAGTAAGGGATGTTTTCCAGAAATCAATCTCCGGTTGAACATCCTCAGCAGTAATCTGAATTTTATCATTACTACTCCTCTTATCAGCATTATTTCTAGTTCTTCCATTATCATTCAAATTCAATCCCTCGTCCACAATATTCCTAAACAAATCATCCCTCCAAGAATTCATATTAGCAGAATTAGATGTTGCAGATTAAAAAACAGGGTTTTGCAAAATAGGGGTTTGCAAAACAGAGCTTTGAGAATCTGGGTTTACACAATTTAGGGAAAAATTGCATATCCCAGCTCCTGAGCTTAGGGAACCCTCAGCAATCATCAATGGAGTAGGATTGATAAACCCACTTTCAAAACTAGCAAAACTAGAAGCTCGATTATCATCAATTGAGTTCGAGTGGATTACCTGAAGCCACTGATTAAACTGCTCCTGGTGTTGTTCTCGCTCTTCTGCCGTGACTTCTTTCACAAGAACCTCCGCCACCATCGAATCACCCAGCCAGCTCTCCACAGAAACATCAGCAGAAGTGATGCTCTGTTCCTTCCGTTTGGTGTAATTTCTCGCCACGGGTTTCGATTTCTGTTTTGATTTTTGCTTATTCTTGGTCTTAGAGCTAGTATTCTTGCTTCCTTTTTTCTTCTTACCCTTGGCCATGGCCTAACTGAGGTTTTAAGGCTAGAAAATGGCGGATTCAAGCTTTCTCTCTCTAGGATTTGCTCTCTCTGACTTACTTGCACCGATTTCATTAACTTAAGTACTAATATATTACTACTCCTTCCATCCCACATTACTGGTATATCACATGTATATGTTTATTGTACTTTTTTTTAATTTACATGCAATGATTCTGTTTGTGTATATTTTCTAATAAACGAATAATGAAATACTATTGGAAAACCATGAATGGCGCGGGTTTTGAACTAGTATTGTTTTGTTCCCATTTTTACATAGGCAACTCTTTCTAAAATATTACTTGCTCTAATGAATATTTTTTGTTATAAACTATATTGAAATATATTTTAAGAGTATTGAGTATTTAGGCATTACCAAATTTTTGGTGCATTGTTATCTATCAAAGATGTTTAAATTAATAAATCAGCAATTGGATGGAGTTTGGATTGACCAACGATGGGTCGAGAGTGTTCGGGTCGGATATGTACGAGTCAAGGTTATCCCTTTAACCCGCCTCATTTTAGGTCAGGTCAATTTCGGGTTGGGTCAAGATCTGTCGAGTTAGGGTCGTGTATAGGTCGGGTCAACTTTACATTGGTTCAAATAATTCATATCAGGTTCAAAATGGGTTTGACTGGATTGATTTCGGGTCGAATGACTTTGGGTCGATTCTAATTTAGTTGATTTTATTTTGATTAAGTTCAATTTGTTTAACTAGGATAAGGTTGATTCAGTTTTAGGTCATTAATTTTAATTCGATTTCAATTCAATTTTGGCTAAATTTGGGTCGGATTGACCAAATTCAATATTCAAATAAAGCCATTTATTTTTAAACCAGAACATATCTTATTATTATTGGGTCACCTTTGGGTCAATCATGTGTCACTTTTCATATCGTATCAATTTTATCTTATTACTTTAACAATGACTTATCACAGCTATATAAGTAAGGACTGAGGAGATAAGTAATATACTAATGATAGATTAATATATAGATGATAGCCACATATGTTCATGCAGGTCATGTTTAAGTGAAAAGAAAGCTCTTAACAATTAATGAAACAAACAATTACATGAAAGTAATTATCTTTAAATAAAAAAAAATGAAGGTCGATTATGCGTTGGTTTATAATTATGTTTGATTTGAAATCATGTCAGATTAAAACTAGGTTGGGTATGTAAAAACAGATCAGATTGAATCATGTATTTTTTGGGTCAATTGGGTCAGGTTGAGTTCAAGTTAGGTCAAACTGGTGTCGATTTGAGTTCAGATCAAATCAATGTCGGGTTGAGTTCAGATTGGGTTAAATTGTTGTTGACCTAAGTTTAGATAGGCTGAATTCAGATTTGGGTGGAGATCTGGTCGGTTACATATGGGTTTGGGTCCTGAAAATTTCAAGTCAAATCAAGTCGGTTACAATTCGAAATAAATGGTTTTTTCCGGGCCAAATCAGTGATGACACCTCTAAATCGGAGGAAGTGAATCATATTATTGTAAAGCGAAGGAAATTGTCATTTATATTGGTTCAATATTTTCTTTAAATGTCCACCTTATATTCAAATCAAGAATATTGATTGAAAAAAAAGAAAAACAAAAATAAAAACATGCATATGCAACAATTTTGCCTGAAGGAAATGCTGGGTTGGGAGCAGTGATAAGGGATTATAGGGGCAAGATAGTTGATGCGGCTGTGCAAAGAACGTTGGGTGAGATGTCTGTACAAATGGCCGAATCTCTTGCTGCGAGGCTGGAGGTTCTGCTAGCAAAACGTGTGGGGTGCCATAAAGTAATATTGGAGTGTGACGCCATCAATGTTGTGAGACCCATCAGCTCTTCAAGGTTTGGCAGAAGTCCAGTTGATCTTATTTTTGAGGATGTTGTGTTCTTAAGTAGAGACTTTGAGTTTTTTTTTTTCTTGCAATCACATTAAATGAGGGGCAATTTTGTAGCTCATCTTATGTCTAGGCATGTTCCGTCAGTAGGCTCTGAGCATGTATTTTTCTATGATTTCCCGCAAGGTATAACAACCTTGGCGGAGCTGGACATTGTGTAATTTTGCCTTGATTAATAACATGCTCGCAGAGCATTCCTTTCAAAAAAAACTCAGAGTTTTAAACTAATAGCTAATTGGTAGACTATAAGAAAAAGTCATTTTAGCGACTACACCCTAATATTTAGTCGCCAAAAAATGTTTTACAACTGAATGAGACTGGTAATCACAAATTTTGCAGCTGATTTTGAGTAGTTGCTATGAAATTGCTAATTAATTTACGACTATTATTTGCTACTACCTTAATATTCAATTGCAAAAAATATTTTTTTGCGACGAAAAGAGACTAATAGTCGCAAATTTTTGCAACTAATTTTGTAGTAGTTTTCAATTAATTGACCATATACCCTTGGACTTTTTACACATGATAGAGCGGCCACAGGAGTGTTATGTGACCGAAGCATTAACTTGCACTTAAAGGGAAAATTTTACAGGACTATTATAAGACCAGTGTTGCTCTATGGTACTGAATGTTGGGCTTCTAAGAAGGAGCACATTAAAAAGATGGAGGTTACGAAAATGCGCATGTTAAGGTGGATGTGCAGTAACACTCTAAGAGATAGAATCGGAAATGAGGTTATTCACAAGAAAGTAGGTGTGGCAGGCATTGCAGATAAACTAAATGAAAATCGTCTGCGTTGGTTTGGGCATGTAAGGCGGAGACCCGAGGGTGCACCGGTATGAAGGATGGAAGAGTGGGACCATGGAGGGGTTAAACAAGGGAGAGGGAGATCGGAAATGACTTGGTTGGAAGGAGTTAGGAAGGATATGAAGTATATGGATTTGCATGAGGTAGAGGCATTGGATCGTAAGGGATGGAGGAGGAAGATATTTTTCGATGACTACACGGAATAATCACTTTTGGTTCATGTAGCCAACCCCACTTATGAGATTAAGGCTTTGATTGATTGATACCTAACCTTAATCTAATCCTCATGTTAAGATTATTTTGATAAAATCACTCGTTTACCTTCACTAATCATATTGTTAGATTGTGTGTCTAAAAGATGTGTTGCAAATAAAAAAAAAGGAAATAAAAACTAAGTAAAAAAGAGCAACAAACGAAATCAAAGTCTCCCAATTATATTATAGTTCGTTAATAGGAAGGAATAACAATACATGGTGATAAACAGTGGCGGACTGGGCCTTGTGCCTGGTGAGGCAAATGACTCACCAGGGCCCAAAAAAAATTCTAAGTTTTTTTTTTTTTTTTTTTTTTTAAAAAAAATAAAAATAAAAAATAAAAAATTCTAACTTCAGCCTGTTGACTTGCCGAGTCCCGACTTCCTCAAGCCCTAGCCCCCGCTACCGCTGCTCTTTGCTTCTTCATCTTCACCCAAATCCCGCATTTCTGCCGGCAGCCGACTCCGTGAGACGAGACCTACAGACGACCAGCGGTCAGCGGACCAGACGGCCAGACCTCCAGTGCTGCTCACTGCTCTTCGCTTCTTCTTCATCTTCGGCTTCAGAGTCCGCCGAGTTCAACCCGGGTTCATCTTCTGCACCTTCAAGCACTAGAAGAAAAAAGGTGATGGGAAGCCACAAATTGGAAGCGGTTATTGAAATCCGCTTCTAATTCCTTACAAAAATTCCCGGCAAAAAAGAAAAAAAAAGGATAGAATTGGAAGCGGTTTGAGTTTGCCTTTCACCTTCTCCTCAAAGATGAAGGTCGCAACTTCATTTTCGCGTTCCCCTTTCACCTTCTCCTCGCCGCAGCTGCAACCACATTTCGCGTTCCCCTTTCATTCTCCCTCCTCATTCACTAATGGTCATGGTGGTCGTGAGAGATAACGACTGTGTGGTTTGATTTCTAGGATTTTTTTTGGTGTTCATGGTATGAGCTTCTTTAAACTTTCCCCTTTAAATTTCAAATTTAAGGTTTCTTTGCATAATTACTAGTTCAAATCTTTGATTTTTTTTCGATTTCTAGGGTTTCGATTTGTAACTGTTGGTGGTGGTGGAGAGCAGCGATGGTGAGGTTCGATTTGTGCATATAGATATGCAAAGTAGCTAGAATTTTGAATGTGTTTGGCTTCATGTGTGTTTTTCATTTGCTAATTGCCTAATTTAATTTACGATTTAGGGATTTTTGATGTAGGTTTTCTGTATTTGATTTAATTATGTCATTTTTGTTTAAATTTGTGTTTTGTGCCAGTTTTTGCTCGGAAAGTTGAAGGGGTTTTGTTATCTACTAATGGGTAGTCAGGATTAGCTGATTTTTGTGTGAATAAGGATTGTTTTGAAGTTTAATTAGCTTAATTTATGTGGAATTTGTGCTCAAATAAAGTACTTGCTATCTGTATAATCATTTTGTTTGCTTAAACTAAACAATTTCGTCTAAAAAAGTAGAAATTGAAGATTGGTTTTGAGTCTTTTGACTGTGTTTAATTGATATTAATTATTGAATTTATTATCATTCATTCTGCATTTATCATGTATGTGTCGCAATAACTGATTTGGATGATCTTTGTAAATAATTTTTCTGGGGAATATTGCTTGATTTAGTTGAATATTGCTTGATTTAGTTGAATATGAACCGTCCAACCAATTATGAATAGGGGTAATTCGCTGTTGGGGTTATTTGCATATGATTCATACTTGTGATTTCATTTGTTTTGTTAACTTTGTGTTTGATTAGGTTGTTGAATTTATATGCAGGGAAGACTCAGCTTATCAATCATTTTCTAATCAACAAGAGTTGGTATATTGTTAATTTGCCTGGATATGGGTGAGTCTCTGTAATTTTGGTTTTAATTTGGGCAATTTCTGTAATTCTTGAGTCTATTTCATGCTGGGAATATTGTATACTTGTATTGTGAATCAATTGTTATTCGTGTTTATTCCTGATCATATGCTTGAATCATATTGAAGTGCCAAAAAAGGATTGCTTTTACACCTTGAGGCATTGCTTCAAAATTATTGATCATCCTGTAAAACATGTTGCGGACTGATATGTATTTAGGCTACATCCGTTGTAGTTAATTTGGTCTCCAATCGTGTTGTTTGTTTTCAAGTTTAGGAAGTAAATGTCTCCTTACATGTCATTGTGAAATTTTATTTTACATATTTGATTATCGATTGTGACTCACCAGTCGGAAATTCCTGGGTCCGCCACTGGTGATAAACATAATGAATTTTCATGTAATCTTGATAGGAACACCCTAAGCTAGTGTCCATGGTATATAATTTCTACCCAAATGTATTTTTTTTCTTCATAAACTTTCATTATTAACCATTACCTATTGAGGATCAATACTAATGAAAATCTTTAATCTAAGAAAAATAAGTTTGGGTATTTGATTGCATTACCATGAATATTAATACACTCGTTACAAAATTATATGAATAATTTTCAATACTACTAATATGAATTATTACATACATCAAAATTAACAACCCTGAGTATTTTGCTATATTGTTCATTCCCAGCAGTGACACCAATTTGATGCATATTTACACAACTAGTTCGAGTCTCTTGAATAAAAGACTCGATTTTAAAATCTTTCTTGGATTATGATATGTTAATATTATACGATTATGGTTACATGCATTCGATATTCTTTAGGAAAAACGAATTCATAATGAACCTGAAAGAAACAAGGATAGAACTCCCAAGGCCCGATTGAGAGGCCACACTTAAAGGCTCGGTTCAAGAATCAAAGTTTAGCACAATGGCAAGGTTTAAAAAACCATAAACACAAGCTAGGCTCACGTTTTATCAAATAATCAAAACTTCAAATCTGATTTTTATTAATTCTTAACCACGTATTTATAAGCTAAACAATTAGCGTAAAAATCGTGTAGAACAAATTCTAATCTAGCTAGGAAACTAACCCTAACTTGTAAAGATAATATTTTGCAAATATGATCTTTAAAGTTAAGCTATCTTCTAGTAACCAATAATTAAATTAGACTCCTAAGGCCTAAAATAAGAAAAACCCTTTGAAGTGAAAGGTAAAAACTCGTATACTACAAGAAAATAGTCTTTTCGTAGTAATTGTACATTCGCTACAATATGCTCATATGTTTGTGAAATAGTAGAGGAATCAGTATCATTTTATAATCGACTTAGTAAACCCATATGAAATCAATACGAAAAATATTATAATATATATATTTACCTTTTTTCTGCACATTTGTAAATTTACGCAAAAGCGTATCGTTAACAATCGCCACTAAAACCCAAAAATCGATACGAAAAGCCTTTTTTACACTAGATTTAAAAAAAAAAAAAAATTGACAAAGAGAACATAAATATGTCATAGATTATTGGAAAAACATTTGATATAATATTAGAGCTTGAGGTTGCATGTTTGAATCTTATATAGCTCATAAGTAGAGGTTTTTTTTTTTTTAGAAAATTAGTTCAACATTTGTAGCGATTATAATAGCTTCAATAATTGCCACGATTGAATGTAGTTTTCCGTACCGATTAATAAGAACAACCCCAGTGAAAGCGAAAAACACTACTAAAGGCTATGGTAACGGCGGATGTTATATCGAATAAACAATCGTTGAGATTTTTTTTGTAGCCATTACAATCGATACCAAATGTTAAAATAATTGCTATGAAAGGATAATTTTCTTGTAGTGGTAGGCAAAAACTAAAATAAGCAATAACCATCATCAATACTTATCAGATATATACGGCGTAATCTAAAGTTTTGGGGGGATAAACTTTTCTTTGAGAATGTATTTTCTAAGGCCACGGAAATGAATGCGGTAGAAATAATCTTCCCAATCTATGTTTTTCGCATCAAAGTCGAAAATTTTCTTTTCTCCACAAGACATCTTTTCGTACAAAATTTTAAGCATTCTTGTTATCGAACCTGAGCAAATAAATAACTATGATTAGAATTGAAATCCATGTTGAACATATAGAGAAGTTTAATTTTATTTGCAACATCAATGTAGAAAGAAAAAGTGAAATTTTGAAAAATAAAGTGATAGAATATAAAAATAAATATTCAAAGCTTTAATGGTTAACTTAAGTTTTTGGTTGACTTGATGTTTTAACAAATAGGGCATTTTTCCGTGTTGAGGCCTAGCTTTACCAAATAACACTCAAGCCAAAGCCTAAATCCATCTTTGGGTGAGATATTATGAATTCTTGATCGTGACAAGAAAGATGTATTAAAACAATAGCTAGTTTGACCTCTCCTAAAATAGAAGTATATATATGATCAAAAAAATTTATAAAAAACTAACATGAAACAAATAAAGGGAGTAAATATTACCGTAATTTGCAGAACATTGCTGCCTGATAGATAATCGCCATGCGAGTGAGCTTGCAACGAAGCTTATAATTTGAAGATTTAGAATCCAATCCAAACAATATATCTTCACAGTTTCAATAGAGAGATAGATCCACTCGTTAAAGAAAGCAATACAGTACATACGGTACAAAAGAGGGAATGGACAAATGCTCAACATGCAACGATCATAGCTTTGTTAAAGGAGTTTTTTTTTTTTTTTTTCCAAAGTTGTATGTGCTTGGAATTTGTTAGATTCACATATCTTTTGTGTATGTTGTATATTGATTTAAGTTTAGAATTACAAAAATCTAAACTGGTGTATAACTAATGAGTTTATGTGAGAAACAATTCAATTAGCTGTTTTCTAATCAGCAAGACTTCTCAATAAAGAGTTTATAATTTGTAGAGCTTTGATGCCTTTCTTAATTAATTTGTGGAATAGTGATTTAGTGACCCTGCGAAACATTTTTTAATATTCCAATTTTGTGTAAAAGTATTTTAGAAGTTGCTTCCTCTATATTTATGTTTTAGTACTGCAATAGTTTGAGTTTTGCATTTTTCATTACTGTATGACTTCAAAATTAGTGCGTGATACATTTAAGAAAAATGATAAGTAATCCCCTTAGGATTAATGGGTACGATACATATAAGGATTTAAAAGTGAAAATATTTGGTTAATCAAACTTAATTAAATTATAAGGTTCAACATGTGATTTTTGTCATGATTAAGTGATTATATGCAAACCATATAAATAATCATTACATTACTTATAATTATAAAAAAAAAAAAAAGTTAATATCTTAAATACATACATTGAGATAGAAACAAGATTCCACATTTTAAGTATGAAAAAAATAAGTAAATAAAAAACGTTACAACTGAACAAACAGATTAGATTAGTTTCATTTAATTTAATAGGCTCGTTCAGTATCACTGTAGTTTTCATTAGTTTCTTGGTTTTTTGTTTTTAACGTCACATGAAATATGTCATATAAAGAATAAAATATTAATCTTACTTTGAAATCGATTACAAAGAAAACTGACTATAAATTAAAAAAGTGAAATTATTTTTTCTAGTTTCCAGCTTTAGGATTTTTAATGTTGTGTTTATAAGACCAAGGGATGATCATCTTGTTCTCATAAGCTTTGTTCTTGTAAAGGTTTTAATAGGCCTAGTAGTCCTTATTGTATTAGCTTAAACTCTTTTAATATATACAAATTAAGCCTATATCAAAATAAAATAATCCGAGAAAATATTTAGTATTTTGAGTGCTAAGACCCGATGTATACATGCCGGGTCATTACATATTGTCGTATTTTAAAGGCATGTAGACATGTTTATTATGACTATGTGCTCTATGTATACGAGATGCAAGAATCATTCCCCCATATCAATTTACAATCACTATAAATATAATGTTTTTGAGGAGGGACATATATATACTATGACTCTATAAATGGCATGTTACTTAGAGTTTTGAACGAGATGAGAAACACTCAATTGAGTGATGGTTAAGGGTTTTACAAGAACAGACAATAATATGAATATGAAGCATACAAATAGTGATGAAGAAGTGTAACAATGTTTAAGAAACTCACAAGATCTAAGATCGATTCCGGTTCAGCGAAAATTCCTTGAAGTTGTCCTCTTCCATAAGATAAGATCATCGGATCCATAACCCTAATTTTCTTTTTCAAATTATTCAACAGAAAAACTAAATATATATTGCCTTATAAATAAATAAATAAGACTATATAAAATGAAGTATTATCAACCAAATTTTTAGATCCCTTTTTTAAGAAGAAATAGGCCTCATTCATCATATGTTGTTATACAAAAAAAAAAAAAAAAACTTCTAGTTGTTGATTTTTATCATAAAATCTTCTACCTAATTTTTTATTGAGATGAAAACAATTTAACATAGACCCTCTTTTATTTAAGGTAAACTTTTTGGTAAAACAGACTCACAGTGAGTCCACTAGAATAAAAGTCTCTTGTCAATGACTTTCACCATCTTCATTTCCAGTTCTCCTTCTTCCCCTTTCTCTCTCCTCCCGCCCATCAATGGCGGCCAGATCCTCCACCGATCTCCGCCTCCTCTCCCGCCTTCTCCACACTCACCCCTCTCTCGCACCTTTAGCCACCAATTACAACAATCAATTACCACCGCAACAACCTAGCAGCCCCGCAACAGCAGGAACTTCAATCACCACCAATCAACTTCCCCTGCTCCACCAATTAGCCACCCGCAAACAGCAATCCGACCAACAATTGATATAATTTCCACCACCAATCACCCAGCGGCAACCTCAATCTTGTGCTCAAATTGAAGACCCATTTGGTGCGCACGCGAAGACCCAGTTGGTGTGACCCACGAATTTGATGATATTGAGCCGTTGATCTTGATGAGCTTGATGATCGAATGTTGATGTGTGGTGATGTGCGAAGCAGGGGATCGTTCCCCATTTAAGAGCAGTCAAAGAAACGAATTTAGGGAGCTGAATTCATTCCTTTTTAATTTCTTTTTATTATTATCGTCAGATATTAGAATATTAATGTCATATATTAGAATATTATTGTCCGATATTAGAATATTATTATCATATATTAGAATATTAGATTATTAATGTCAGATATTAGATTATTTATGTCATGTATTAAAATATTATTGTCAGATATTAAAATATTAATGTCATACATTAGAATATTATTATCAGATATTAGAATATTAT